AAATTAATTTCACTGCCACAGTATGTAAGTTCCTGAAAAGCCCACTTAAAAACATTTTATTTCAGAATTCAAGTTGTATCTATGCTGCTTTAAGAAATACTTTAAGAACAATTTAGAAATTTAAGTATTGAAAAATGCTTAAATAATTATTACATTTGTAGTTCACAAATTACTGTCAGAGAGATACTCTAAGCATCCTGCTATTGTAACCACCTATCCTTTTTAAAAATATATATATTTTATTGATTTTTTACAGAGAGGAAGGGAGAAGGATAGAGGGTTAGAAACATCAGCCAGCTGCCTCCTGCACACCCCCCACTGGGGATGTGCCCACAGCCAAGGTACATGCCCTTGACCGAATCGAACCGGGGACCTTTCAGTCCGAAGGCCAACGTTCTATCCACTGAGCCAAACCGGTTATGGCATAACCACCTATCTAGCGGAAAGGTGGAAGAAATAGTTGTGGCTCATATTTGTGTGATTCCATTAACATGAAATGTCAAGATACAAAAATCCACAGAGATAGGAAGCAGATCAATGGTCACCTAGGTCTGGAGGGAGAGCATGCTGGGGGAAATAAGGAGTGACTGCTAATGGGTTCAGGTTTCTTTTGGGGGTGATGAAAGTATCCTAAAATAGACTATGGTGATAGCTATATAACTGTATACACTATAAAAAAACCACTTAATTGTACATGTTAAGTGGATGAATTGTACATATGTGAAATAAAGCTTAAAAAAAGTTAAAAATTTAAAAATAGTTGTGGCTGATTATGTATTAGATTAATTAAAAATAAGACCATTTAGGAAAAATATAATGAGAAAATGAATTTAAAATAAATTCTTAACGTAAAACTAAGAATTACTATCACAATTTGACAGCAATTAAAGGAAGGAACATTATTGGTACACATATTCTAAAAAGCATTTCAACAAATATTTTAACCATATGGTCTTGATCTCTTCTAAAATGCAAAAGAGTTAGGAAAGTTCAAGTAAAAAACCAATGATGTATTCTTACATGCTTTATAAAATGAGTAAACAAAAGCTCAGGAAAATTGATCTTAAAAAAATAAAAAGCTTTCCAAAACCGATCCCAAATTTGCCCAATCAAGTCTTCTCCTAATCATCTACCTTCAACTTTAAGTTTATTTAATGATCTAACTGTTAGAGATTCAACATATGATGAAAGGGAACTTGGAGAAAAATAAAATAATTATAAGAAGAAAATACCTTTCCCTCTCTTCAATTGGGTAAACTGTTTAGACAGGATTCAATAACAATTTCTCAGGCTATTTTCTAAGGTTTTCCTAAGCACTCTTAAGGTTGGCACATCAATATAAATTTTATTCTACTTTTAAATCTTTTGTAATAACATGCATTTTAGGCTTATAATTTCAAATCAAGGTTAGGGGTGTGTGTATATAAAATGTATATTCATTCAAAAATCAAATTAAAATATGTAGGCTGTTTTAGCTAAGCTGCTCTGTGAACCTTTTGTTCACTTAGATGACTACCATGCAGATTATTAGTAAGCTGGTAAATGTAATGAAAAAATTATCAATGGAATTATTTTATTAAGGCAAATTACTTTGACGTATTTTAAATTCTGATTTGAAAGAGTTTCACCTATAATTAAACAGCTCTTGTAGCAACAAGGGCATAAAATAAACAATCTCATAAACCTAAGTCTAGAGTTTATCATAGACTAAGATTTTCAAACTTTAAATTGATCATAAATTTAAGTATATACTGAGGAATAAAACAAAGAATGAGAATTACTGTGATTAGTGAATAGCCTTTTAACAAGACTGTAGTAAACCTAAAGTTTATTATCATTAAATAACATAGCTACCTATTAAAATTAATGTTGCATATTCTATCAAATTTTCTATTTTTCTACTCAGAAGTTACTCAATAATAAAAATGTATTTGGAAATTTATCCAATATTTTTCTAACACTTGTTAAGATTTTATTTGAAATATATCTATTGCTCATTGACCTTTATTCAAATCACTTTTTATTTAATAAAAATGTTCTCTACTTTGAAATTTTAAAGGGTCCAGTATCAAGGTATTTTGTTAAATGGTAACCTAAAATAAACTAAAAGAAAGGTTTAAAAAAAGAAAAGTGGTAGGCTTTAAAATAAATCCTGTATATGTTTGTGACCAGGTTACAAATCAATATAACATAATCAGAGGAGCAACTGGCAAAATGAGAGAAATATCTTGATAACTCATTATTCTAATGCAGAATGAACTCCTATAATGAAGAAGGATTACTAGGGACAATAGAAGCCATTTTCTTTTGCTGCTATTCACTATTATTTAACAGTCAAATTTGATTTGAGGCCTGGTGAAAATGTTCTTGCAAGACTTGATATACTTCCCTGGGTGTATGTAGGAGGTGAGGAAAACATATTTCTGCAAATGGGAGGCTTGATGGAGCAGCCTGCACCTGTTATCTTCCTGATAAGAATTCTGCACGAGCTACCCCTGCCCACAGGATTAAAGCTAAATACACGCAAGAGGCCTCAGCCAGGCAACTAAGGCCTGCCCAACAGGGCCAGTCCTGCATCAGAACCAGTGTTATTCTGCTCAACAGGCATCATCTTCTCCTTTAGGACCAGCTCTCTGGCCCAGAAAAGCCTTCTGTGTCTCTGGCTAAGCCAACTCATACAGACCCTGCATCTTGGCCTGACCCATGTCTGAACCCCTACTTTATTCTAATGGTCTCCAGATTGGGTTCTGTGCCATGATTTACCTATCTTCTCTTTTTCTTGGTTAATAGCTTTGTTTTATGACTCAAGTTAACTTCCTCACTAAAGGCTTAATAATAGGATAACTGTTGAATTGCAGGGCCAACTCTAAAGTCATATTGCCTAGGTTCAAATTTTGGCTCCACCACGTAAAGCTATGTGACTTTAACCACCTAACTTAGTCTCCCTGTACCTTAGTTTCCTGAGTTGTAGAAAAAGGCAGGGGGGGAGGGGGGGGAGAGGCGTTGGCTGAAGTGGAGGTACAATATGATCATCAAAAGATCATTGTTAGAAGAGTGCTCTGAGACATACTGAACACACAGTAAGCTATCAATATGTATTAACCACTATTTTTATTATACTAATATTCAGTTTATTAGCCAGAAGCAAAATTCTGAACAGTAAAATTATACCTGCAGACAAAACTGCACATACTGTACCTTAATGAACTGGTTAGTTGGAAAAACAATTTCAGATAAAGTTTTACAAATGCATTTTTTTATTACAAATCACAGCAAAATGTGGAATACCCAAATGAATGAAGCTTGACAGTCTTAATGTGGAGTCGAGAAAAAAATATGAATGATTACAGACCAAGAAAAAATTCTTACAGGTGAAGGCAACTGATATAAAATACAAAAAGGAGCTCACAGGTTGACCAAGTTCTGAAAATGTTTTAAAAACTACAACCAAAGTACGTAGATTTCCAGTATATCTGACGAGCTGCTGTGAAATGATGACTACTAGACTGCTAAGGGCTGCATAATAATTTCCTTAACTGAGTTATTTAAAGGATATTTTTCTAGAAGATTACACCTATAATTCTATAACAAAGGAAAATGGGGGGAAACTTTGTTTGCAGACATTATCTGTAATTCACTGTTTCTGCAAATCATGGTGGAATTTATCTGCATCTTATTTCTATTGTGCCTTATACAGATCTGCTAAGGAAAGTCTTTCAATGTTCACAGTCAAGGTAAGAATGATGCAATGTTTAAAACAAAAAAGTAAGGCAACTTCAGAAATTTTGTACCATCACTGAAGTTCTGATGGGTTAAAGACAGAAAGTTTCTTTTCATCAAAGAATCCAATCACTAAAACGACTATCCGTTTAGATCTTCCATTAGCAATGATAATCCACAACTGACTCCTCATTTCATTTGCCTAGTTAGTAAAAGGGTATGGCTGGGTATTAGCCTTTTACATACACATATATTTGTATCCTAGGCTTTTATGTAGCTTCATTTGCATTCTCACATTGAGACAGAAAGTTAAAAACTAAATTGAAGGAATGTAGATTACAACTAACCCAGGTTACTGAGACTTAATTATTCACAACAGCTTTAATCACAACAATAAACTACATATAAAATTAAGCATGCACATCATTTCATTCATAAAGAACAAATAGTTTCTTTGTTAAGAACCATAAAAACATATATTCAAAATAAATCAATGAAATTAAGATATTTGTTTTCCAAAATTCTTTTACCTGTTACCACACATTAGTTTGATATGGTCTTTCACATTTTCCCTTAAGATTTGTCTATAATATATTGCCAAAACAGGTTTGGCTCAGTCGATAGAGCATAGGCCTGCGGACTGAAAGGTTCCAGGTTCGATTCCAGTAAAGGGCATGTACCTTGGTTGCAGACACATCTCCAGTAAGGGGTGTGCAAGAGGCAGCTGATCGATGTTTCTCTCTTATTGATGTTTCTAACTCTCTATCCCTCTCCCTTTCTGTGAAATAAATATATATATATATATATATATATATATATATATATAATTTTTTTAAAAGATATTAAAAAAAAGATTTGTCTATATTTTTGGGAAAAAGTTGTTTCTATTATTGATGGGCACAATTACAAAACAAAACTAGTTTGTTTTTTTAAAAAACACCTGTTATTTACTGAAAAGTCTCCCAACTTGAAGAATCCAGCCTAATGGAAGTTTTATTTCAATGAGTGAGAGAGAGATACTATAGAAAAGGTTGCCAAACCAGTGTCAGGGCAGGAGAGAAAGGTGTCAGTATTAGTTTAGCCAATCTAATAGGCCCCAAGAAACTACTGTGTGTACTTCTAACTGTGAGAGATATACGTCAGGCAGTATGATGAAAGTTAGTTATGAAAAGGGTTCTGACACTAACCTACTCTGTATATTCTGAAAATCTGACTTAAGTATGAAAGTACAAAAATAATTTTAGATTAAAACATTTCATTTACAACAGTTAAAGTAAAAATAACTATTACCAAGACAACCTGAAATAAACATCACTAGTAACCTCAACCAAGGCTAACAACGCCCTTGAAATTGAATGGTTTAAGAAGTAAACACCATGGGGCATCAGCCTGAAATTAAAAGGCAATAAATTATATTGGCCACTCTTTGATCCTAAAGTCCACTAGTGGTTCTTAATATCACTTTTGATGCTTATTGACTAAACATCCAAAATGAAGTTATGAACAGAGAGCCTACAGAGTCAAAATAACATCCTCACACATCAACATTAGCCATAACATATGCTTGGAGTACAATATCTTTGTTTTAAAGTAGCCAATTTTCCAAAACAATCTTCTAAATAAATGGCAGTTAAAAAATTACTATAAGAAGATTTTATGTTTTTTAGAACTCTTTTTGGTAAGCCAATTTTCTTTTTGCCATGCGCTTTAAATATCTTAGCACATTCCAACGCAGTGACAAGAAACCACATACTGCACCTGTGCTTTCTATCTTAATTAATCCAATAAGGACAGGCCAGCTCACTTTAATTTGTAAAGGAAATGATGATGTAGTGCATTTTAACTTAAGGTATTAATTATCTAAATTATCTAAATGTTTCAGTAGACACTGCAAGTAAAAATTTCTGCAAGAATGGAAGACTTAAACAGCATATTTAGGAATAAGAAAGCAAAATGCTCATTCTACCACTAAATTATACCGAAGGGGGAAAACAGCAGTGTGGCCGTTCAGACTCTTTCCTATAGAATATATTAAATTCAGCTTAGTTGTCCGGTGATTGATTAACTCAACATTTCTTTTCCTACTTGTAGATAAGCAAGTTTGGGGAAGCCACCCTCCTTTCAAAACAAAGGTCATGACTGTCTTAAATGCCTCAGTAAAATGATGGTCAAAATCTGATAAAAATTCTGCAGGGGCCTAGACAATCACATGATGGCATACACACGCCACACCATCTGTGGGATATGACTGCCAGTACAGACTTCGTGAGCTGGCAGAGGACTAAAATAGTCCCGAATTCTGCAAGCATTTCAAAGTGTGGGCTTCTCATTAACTTTAATTTCCCGTTGGCTCCACAAGGAAAGCGTGAGCAGTGAAGGCGCCCTGTGCCACATACACTCAAGTTCACGCCACACGTACACCTGTAATCATAAACTCTTAGCCAGGGCTGTCCACTACATCACTGGAGGGTTTGTGTTTATTTCTCCTTTACCCTAGAAGAAACAAACCCCAAATATCGAGTTATCTTTTCATACTTTGTTGACTCAAACATCTGGAAATACTTGACAATAATCATTTAATTAATGCAGAGCTAATTGATGACAATGTGCTTAAACACTTCACTCAACTGAAGTGGTTTCCTCAGTTCACACAACGAGGGGCTGGAGGGAACAAGATGTTCTTTGAATAAGGTAACTTCTAACCAACCTCTCCAAAAACATTACTTAAACCTTGTGTTTAAGTAAGTAAAGCCGGTGATAGCGTGCAGCTACACGGGTCAGAACTGGTAGAGGCCGCTGGCCTAGGTTCCCCCAAGGCTTTTCAAAGCGCGGACGGGCGTGACTGCGAGTGTTTTTGTGGGCTCTGTGCTCCCCCACTGCCCCCACTTCACTGCCCTCTGTAACCGAGGCTGCTCTAGGAGGGGGCAGAGGAAACGCTCCTCCGAACAGGGAGCTACTCCTAATGCTGGGCTCCAGCAGCGGGGCTGCTCCTTCCTCTGGGTTCGCTGCTTTCTGTTTTAGAGCAGTGAGAATTTCTGTTGATGTTTGTTTCGTTTTTGTTTCCTTATAACCACACTGACTTGGCAATCCAGGAATCAGAGGAAGACTGTAAAAACTTAGAAAAGCCTGAGACAAATTTACAGCCTTTTCCTTCTGCCACAATGACTGAGACTTTTTATCACTTCTCCTGTCCCTTAGCTCAAAAGAGCATCACCAATGGAATATTTAAGAATCATAGTAATTAAGAAATGTTAATTTACAGTTTAGTTTGAGTCAAAAAACAAACAATGGTTAATTTACCTAATTCCTCTTACACTTGTAATTATTGTCAATCCAATTTCTTTCCTTTAAAAAAAAATTGGAATGAATATAGTGGGTTAACAGATGGCTTTTAAAGTTTTGTTCTTATTCCAAAATCTTTATGTTACTCAAAATATATCTACTTATGAATGATGCTGTAACTTCTACAAACATGATCGACACACTCTCTTTCTATTTAACACTAAACAATCTGGATGCTAAGGCTGTTTTGAAATAATTCAAACAAAACCTGAAACATTAGACTAGTGCTATAATAAACAGATTTGCCTTTTACGTTTGTTTTATAAATCTTCACAGGCACACCCAAAACAGTTTTTAGTAAAGTTAAATAATAAGTTCAATTAGCCTAAAAATATTTTATCCTATCTTTATAATACCTCCACAATGGTGAACATAAATTAGTTCTCCTGTCATCCCATTACATCCAGGAACATAATATGAAACAACAGTTCCCAGAAAATCCAAAAGACAATGCTAAAGAAAAGACACAGCCCTTGATGGTTTTGCTCAGTGGCTAGAGCGTTGGCCTGGGAATAGAAAGATCTGGGTTCGATTCACAGGCCTGGGTTGCAGGCTCTATCCCCAGTAGGGAGCTTGCAGGAGGCAGCCGAACCAGCGTTCTCTCTCATCTCTGATGTTTTCATCTCTCTCCATTCTTCTCTCTCTAAAGTCAATAAAAATATATTAAAAAAAGGAAAGACACACATGATGTTGCAGACAGGCTGTAAGATAAAGAATGCTTCCTGCTCCACACATCTGTCTAGCAGGTGCCTCTGAATAAGTTCTGTCTCTTAGGAACCTGCTCTGAATTCTACAAAAGGTAATGAAGTGTTCTCTTCATTTTTCTTTCTGGAAACCTATTTTCCTCAATGCAGACGGATAAGACTTCTACATCCTGGAAATACAGTCAAAACAACTTAGGGCTCTTTTAAGCAGCTTCTATTTAATAGACACAGGAATCACATGAAGCCAGTTCTTTTGGAAGGTAGCCCTGACATACATCATAAAGAGGGCAGATAAACACACAAATCTTAGCACACTGTTTACTTTGATGAGTCAATTTTTCTTACATCCTATGTCTAATGTATGATGGAATGAATAAGACCAGACTTCTCTTATCATTACCAGCTGGTGTCATAAGTGGAAATCTGTCTTTGCTTTCAGAGCATTCCCTTACTTAGTAAGCAAAATATTCCACTGGCCCCTTTACGCTTGGCCCTCGTCTCTTTTAGCCCCTCTTCCACACCTTCCTTTGTCCTTTACCACACTCACTGCTACTTCTAGTCCTTCTTTATGCATCTGGCAATCCTGCCTTATTCATCTCTTATTTATCCCCATTTACAGGAGCCTCAGGAGCTATTCACAAACGTCTTCCATTTGCCGCGAAGTGATGAGGGGGGGTGCTTCCAGTTGACAGGTGCAGTGAATGCTGAAGAGGGAAGAACTGCCCTAGCTGTTCCACCCCTCCTCCGCTCCCTTCTAAGGCTCCATGCCCTGTGTAAGTCAGAAAAAAATAATCCCACAAAAGTGGGATCCAGTCGCAGGATCTTTTCAAGCCTCTTTCCTACTGGGAGGACATTTTTTTTTTCTTTCACCTTTTGTTATTTAGTTCTTCACCTCACTCTAGTAAGTTGGCTGTTTCTATTGATTAACCTTTTCTAATGCATCCTACATCTACTCCTGTTTTTCTTTCTTTTTCACCCCCATTTTATTATTATAGATACTCCTTAACTTATAGTGGAGTAACCTCCCAATAAACCCGTCGTAATTTGAAAATATCAAGTCAAGCAGAAACCGGTTTGGCTCAGTGGTAGAGTGTTGTTCTGTGGACTGAAAGGTCCCAGGTTCGATTCCGGTCAAGGGCATGTACATTGGTTGCAGGCACATCCCCAGTAGGGGGTGTGCAAGAGGCAGCTGGTCGATGTTTCTCTCTCATTGACGTTTCTAGCTCTCTATCCCTCTCTCTCCTCCTCTCTTTAAAAAATCAATAAAATATATTTAAATAAATAAATAAATAAATAAATAAATAAATAGTAGCTTTGGGCAATGGTTTAGGAAATCTAAAATGCCAGATAATAAAAAAAAATATAAAAAAATAAAGTCAAAATACATTTAACCGCCTTACCTACCGAACACCATAACTGAGCCTGGCCTATTTTAAACACACTCAGAGCACAATATCCAACACACTCGGTAACACACATAGTACAGGGCAACATATCGGCTGTCTCCGGTGGTCCTGTGTCTGACTGGGAGCTGTTGCTCACTGCTGCTGCCCTGCATCGTGAGACAGTCCCGTCCTGCCTAGCACTAGTCCAGGGAAAAGAGCAAATTCACAAGTTTAAGTATGATTCCTACTGAATGTGAAACACAAAGAAAAAGAGGAATCATTTTCATATCACCTGAAGCAGAAATTGCAAGTCAAATCATTGTTAAGTCATAGACCATCTGTATATTATTGTAAGCCTATGTCACATAACTGGTTTTTCCTACCTTTAGTCTTTTCCTAGCAATCAAATACTCCTGCCATCAAGATTAAGATCTTAAAACAGTTCAACATGTCACTCTCCAACTTGAAAACCTTCCGTGGCTTTCTATTATGAAATAAAAATTCAGACTCTCCAATCTTGTGCTCACGGACATCTGACCCTTTCCATTGTATTTCCTTCATTGTGTCCTTGTCACCCAATACCACTGTGGCTTCCTATCTCTAAGCTTTTTATTATATGCATCATTCTCGGTAGTGCCGGATTCCCTCCTCCTGCTATCCATCTTTCAATGCTTAGACAAAGCCCTCACAATGATACAATTTCATAACCCACTTGAGCCTTAATATTGAGTTCCCCTGCTTATGCAAAACCATATGACATTAGAATTATTGTTCTATAATACAACTTAATAGTTAATACCTTGCCTTTTTAATTTAATAAATATTATGTATGTGTGTTTATATCCTATAGTGCCTAGCACAATTTAAAGTAGAAAGCAGAACATTTGTTAAATTAGTTTGTTTTCTAACAAGTTTTCAGGTAGAAGGACTCCAAAATCTCAAGAGGCCTTACAACTTCTGCTATTACCTTCTTAGCAGGCTACTACCGCCACCTAAAAACTCCAGACTTGCCTGATAGGGTCATGTGGCCTTGCTAACTGTCAGCGTAACTGGCGGAGTGAGGTAATTTTCGATCATTCACTCTAGTCAAGCTGTTGGATGACAGCAGCCACTCATGACCCAGGTGAATCCAGCACAAGAACCACTTATCTCAACCTAGTCAAACTGCTTACCCACAAAAGTGTGAGCAAGTAAAAAGTTGCAGTTTTAAGTCAATAAGTAGAAAAACTAATTGAAATAATTAAATAATTTTATTGAATATTTCTTACTATGATAATTTATTCATTACTTTGTAGCTCATTTCATACTCTTTCCCGGAGGCTATTAAGATTTATTCTAGCTGAGACAAGACAGAGTTCTTTGATGCTAAATATTCTACATAATTCATTATGTCCATGAATGATTTAAAAAGCTTGAATATCAGCATTCTAAATAATTTATAATTTTTAAAAAAGTAACAAAATGAAATCTTACAAAAACTACAGAAATACAGATTTTATTTTTCTAATTTACAACTTCAAAATTGAAAAGACAGTAAGTAAATATCAATGTTTTCAGGATAACCTGTGCTATTGCTAATATTTGCTAGCAATTAGTACTAAACTTATTAAGAACAGATTTTGAAACTATTATCTGATTATTTAAAAAATAATCACAATATTTAGAAGTAAAGTACTCAACATTAAAAATATTTAGAGGCATGCTGACTAAGCAAAATGGCTTAAAGTTACGTAAAAAATTAAAGACATACATACATCTAAAATTTTATTTACTTATGAATAAATGTATTTATTATAAATATAGCTGTGAAGGATTGTAGTTATTTCATGTGAGGAAAAAAAAGTCTTTCAGAATAATACCCAAAAGTAACATACTATTTAAAACATGCTAAAGCAAAAATCTCCATAAAGGTGGCTTCTCCATTAAAAAACTCATTATGAGAAATTACTCTTTCAAGATGTGGAAATAGTTGCTTTTGAATTGTCTGTATTATTTGCATTCTTTAAAAGAAATAAAAAGGAAAAGGGCAGAAGAAAAAAGAGAAAATGTATTAAAAGAGGTGTTAAAGCACAGTTTAGTACTGAAGTTTATATGCTAACTAGAAAAAAAAATAGGGCTATTATTTCTGACAAACCAACTGGAATTAACACTTACTCAAGTAGAAACGAATTCAGTTAACTTTCAAAGTTGAGGCAAATTTCTCCAAGTCTACGTCATAAATGTTGTATCACTTGTTTTGGAAACGGAATTTACTGACTGTCAGAAGTATCTCATATTTGCACTATTAGAAACATCTTTTGAAATAGTTGTCATTTTAATTTTAAAGTTGTCCTAAATATGTCTGTAAATGTGGGCTATGAGTTATTTAACTGTAATCAATTATTTACATTTCTATGCAAGTACATTTCTATAAGAAAACCACAACTATACCTTTCCCCTAGTCACATTTATGACTATATGTTGAATATCAATCTATAGTATATATAATTTTATACATATACTACTATGATTCGCAATCCGTCAATAAAATGACGGAGAAAATAAAAATAAGAGAATTCAAATGTACTTACAAAGTCGAAGTCTCCGTCTTGAGGAACTTTCCAGTTATCAGGAAAAACATTTTTGGACATAGGGAAGGGTTCGTGCATGTTCTGATTACAGTTCTCATGACTCTTATTCTTGAAGTCCTGCTTATCAAAGTAGTCCATGAAAGACGGTCTTTGCACTTGTGGTGAAGTTGCATTTCCTTAGGTAAACAAATAACGTGAGAGAGTATAAGTGCTCATAGTTAAAGAAGAATGATTTCTATTGAAGTATAAGTTTTTATTGAGCAATATAATGGATTTTCACTGGTCATATTTCAACATAGTCAATTTAATGAAGAACAAAGTAAAATAAAATAAAATAAAAAATAAAATAAAATGAGAATGAAAACAAACAAACATATCCATTGGTTGAAATAAAAGTTCAACCAATGATTAGGCAGAGATCCACGATATTCTTAGATTGTGGAAACATATCAGAATTTTGGCAGATCTTTACCATAATTTTATTTAAAATCATTGCAGATGTATTTGAAATCTGTCAGAGAAGGAACATTGCAAAAACCTGCTTTATTTTAAATAGCTAAGCCTGAATTATTGTCATTGCACACCACTAGCTATTAGAAGTTATAAGGACTCACCCAGGCTCCATTTTTATCTCTTCACTTCATGGTCCTTCTGGCTAAACCCACCTCCTCCTGGCGTCCCATGGCCTCATCTGATACCTGTGAATCCCAACTCTATTTCTGCAGCCCACGTCTGGCTCCTAAGTTCTACACCCAACTTGCCCACTACTTACTCTTACTAATAGATTGGATCTGAGGTAGTTACCACACACTTACCAGTTCTAAAGCTACAGTCAAGGTCTTTCACTCCCATCTCGCTGCTCACCTGATCAAATCAACATTATTTACTCAATGCCCAAAGGGATAAACCTGAGCAATAACCCAGATCCCTCTCTTCCCATCATACCACACTGATCGTTGGGTCTTTTTAATTCTACTTCTCAATACAACAGTTTAAACATAACTCTTTTTTCTCTGGCCAACATTGCTACCTTCCTGGTTGAGTTTCCAATTTCTTGCCTTAGCCATTGTGGCAACCTCCACGCTGGTCTTGCTGATTCACGCAGTTTCAATTTTAGTTTCATACTGATAATACAGTGATCTTTATTTATTTATTTTTAAAATATATTTTATTGATTTTTTACAGAGAGGAAGAGAGAGAGAGAAAGAGCTAGAAACGTCAATGAGAGAGAAATATCAACCAGCTGCCTTTTGCACACCCTCTACCGGGGATGTGCCCGCGATCAACATACATGACCTTGACCGGAATCAACATACATGCCCTTCAGTCCGCAGACCGACACTCTACCGCTGAGCCAAACAGGTTTCAGCTACAGTGACCTTTCTAAATGCAAATTAAACCATGTCATTTTTCTGCTTAGAACCTTTCAATGGCTCATTTTCTACACTGAACTTAGAGTGAAAAAGAAACATTTGAAATAACTAGATTGTCTTCCTTTTGTTAAGTTGTATGAGTTTCTTATATATTTTGGAAATTAACCCCTTATCACATGTATCATTGACAAATGTGTTTTCCTTTACAGTGGGCTCTCTTTTCATTTGGTTGGTGGTTTCTTTTTCTGTGCAGAACTTTTTTATTTTGTTTATTTTCTCCTTTGTTTCCCTTGCCCTAGGAGATGTAATGGCAAACATATTACTATGAGAGATGTTTGAGATTTTTGCTGCCTGTGGTTTCTTCTAGGATTTTTGTGTTTTTTAAGTCTTTTATTCATTTTGAGTTTATTCATTTAAGTCATTTATTCATTTTGAGTTTATTCTTGTGTATGGTGTAGGTTGGTGGTCTAGTTTTTTGTTTTTGTTTTGTTTTGCATGTATCTGATTTCCCAACACCATTTATTGAAGCAACTACCTTTACTCCATTGAATGTTCTTGCCTCCTTTGTCAAATATTGAGTGTAATGGTTTGGGTTGATATCTGGATTCTCTGTCCTGATCCATTGATCTATATACCTATCCTTGTGCCAGTACCAAGCTGTTTTGATTACAATGGCTTTGCAGTATAATTTGATATCTGGAATTATGATCCCTCCTTTGTTATTCTTTTTCAAGATTGCTACACAATTCCTATTAAAATAGCAATGGCATATTTCACAGACATAGAAAAAATACTCCAAAAATTTGTATGGAACTAAAAAAGACCTTGAATAGCCTCAACATCCTTACTTTTGAATTAATGGGGGCTACTAGTAATTTCATTATTAGCAACTGTATATTGGCATAATACATTTAAAAATCATATGACTACCAAAATTTTAGAATGTTCTGTCTCAGTAGAGTCAGAAGAAATCTGACATTTAGAATATGCATGTATTAGTGAGAAAAAAAAACAGCAAAAAACCCAAATACTACAACTATTCATCTGAAGACTCATTCTTCAATTAGAGCTGGTCAGGCTTCAGAAGATTTAAAAATAAGAATGACAAAACCTCTGGGACCCAAAGGATACCCTCTGAAAAGATACACTCCATCAAAATGAGGATAGAATGAAACACCAGTATTTATAGTAAACCTTCAGAACTCAGAACACTCTCATATCCCACTCATATAAACTCATGAAAAAAGAACTCCTTAGGCAGTTTAACAAGATATCAGCCAATGCTGCCTTTAAATTCTCCATCAGTCCAGACTTTACTAGTAATGTTACAAATGAATACAATATATAGGAGAGAAAGTATAATATTTTAATGATCAATAAATATTACATAAAGATTTTGTGTTTCTGGTCTTTTATCTTTAACTTTCTTCCCTAAAATCTCCTATTGCTAAAAAAAAAAAAAAAAAAGGAACTGATTAATTTGACAAGGTTACATTACTGACATTTGGACTAAACACATACATTCCATTAACATTTTCAACAGATTTTAAGAACCCTTGATATGTCTCTGGGCTTCATCATTACAAGAGATTTTTATCTTCAGAATTTAAATTTAGTTCCTATAGCAACCTTTTATTCCATAACAGAGTCCAGGAATTTAACCTCTATTAGTCTCCACCTCTGACCTTTTTATGAGAATAAATAATAAAATAATGTAAGTGTAGCTCAATAAATTTTCTATAAAATAATTGAGCAAATCAAATCATGGAGAGAGAAGAGGGAGATAATCCCTAAAGGAAGCATTTGTTCATTATTCTTTTTTTTTTAAGAGATGAGTAATTTTGTAATAGAATTGCATATTTATTTGGGTTGTAAGTTCTTATTTTAATCAGCTAGTCTTAAGATGGGTCACATGTATAAAGAAATCTAAAAATGTTAACATTGCCCTAGCTGGTTTGCCTCAGTAGATAAGAGTGTCAGCCTGCAGACTGAAGGATCCTGGGTTTGATTCTGGTTAAAGGCACATGCCCAGGTTGTGGGCTCGCTCCCCAGTAGGGGGCATGCAGGAAGCAACTGATCAATGATTCTCATTATTGATGTTTCTATCTCTCTCTCCCTCTCCCTCCCTCTCTGAAATCAATAAAAATCTATTTTTAAAAAAATTTAAATTTTTTACATTTAGTACAACAAGGGTTATCAATGTTTATATAGTAAACTCAAAACAAGAGAGTAAAAAAGGTTTCTTTCGGAAATAACTCTTGTGAAAGAAAGCCATGAATTTCACCATTATCAACTGCATTTGATAAAAGCATAGAAAATGTTTCATTGAAGCAAATATCTACATTGTATTCTTTAAACAATAAATTTAGCTTATGTAGGTGCTTTGGTACAAACAAAATAACCAAAAGCACATTTTGGCACTACTACTCCAATGAAGAAAACAGCAGTCCCTGACCACTGCCCCTTCCCAAATCTTCCTCCGCCACCCCCTTACCCGGCCAGGCCTGCACTACTCTTATTACCTCTCCCTCCAGTCAGCAATGCAGACTCCACTTACAGTCTTCTCTGTTTCTCCTCAACTAGGGGGTAGGGAACGCTTCAACCCAAATCTTTACTTATGCCCTGGTGCTATAATGAAACGGTGGCCTTTCAATTTACCAATGACTTAAATCAGACCCTGTATCTGAGAAAATGGAAGACTAATGTTTTCCTACTGGAAACTAACTCTTATAGAGCAGCAACTCTAATATGGCCTATCTTTCAAGAGCAGCAGCATACACAGAAAAGGAGAAGGAAAGAAAGAAAATCTCAAAAGTTACCTTCCACTACAGAGATTAAAAATGGGGAAAGCTTTATTATTTTATAAAAATCCTTACAACAAAAAGTAAGACGGGCTGAGTAGGTACTGCCTTGAGAGACAGGGAGAGTAAGGAAAAGGCTGGAAATAGGTAGTATACTTCTCTGCAATGAGTCAGACATATAAAAGTCCAAGCGGAATTAAGTAGTGGCATTAGAAAGGGAAGAGGCAAACCAATCCCCAGACTGACTAAATCGAAAAGGAAATTGCTAAGGAATTTTATCCCAGGAATCTTTCTTGCACCCCCAACAGTCCTGTGCTGCTCCCAACCCTACCCCATCAGGAGCTGCCCGGCATGCGAGCCGCCATTAGTGTCCTAGTGTCTCAAAGTAAAAAGTCCTCTACAGGCCCACCCTCCCTGGAGGTGACAGGCTGTTTCTCCTGTAGGGAGGAGTGGCTCTGTATCAGGGTTGGGCCTATGAGATGAGGGTTTCCAGGGAAGCTGTTTTCTTGACATAGGTACCAGCCATTCCTTCTTGCTCTTTCTTCATGCCTGAGATGCAGATTTAATGGTTGAACATCTAGAAGGCAGTTATTCTGCAATCAGGATGACAATGAGAATAATGCCCTAAAGATGACGGGGGGAGGGGGGGAGAGGATTTCTGACATTATAAAGTCATTCTACCAATGCAGGACACTGCTGCTGGATTTATTAAATGAGAAATTTTTTTAACTACTGTTATTTGGATTTTTTGGTACAGATGGCTAAATTCAGTCCCCAATTGAAATCTCAAGATAGCAACCACTGTCATATGTGATTGTGGTTGCTCTGATTAATGATCTTGGAAATTTGTCTTTCAGTTTGTTGCCAAGAAGATAACGAATATACATATACACATATACATATGTACATGTATACACATACACATATATCTATATACATATACATACATATATATATTAGAATGTTAATACAGAAGCTACTGACATCAGCTTTTTCTTAACT